CTTCCTCCAAGTTCTTTTGCTTTTCTTTTTATTTTCTTAATGCCTAATCTAACTCTTAATCTCTTCTTGTATTAGAGAGAAAAGAGCTAACAAATCCTTCCCCTAAAGAGTATAGGTGAAAATTCTTGAATTCTTGCTCAAACCTACAACACCACTAGTATTTTCGGTTTTTATGTGTTTTTATGTGTTTTATTTGTTTATTCTTGCATATTATGTGATTATATGTTTTAGATGATCATTGCATGTTAGTATTTTGAAAAGATAACTTTGTTCTTGAAGTTCTATGATTTTTCGAAAATTTGGGGAAAAATGTTTTAAATTGCTTATTTGGCTTCATTATTGCCTTGCATGTGTTGATCTAGTGTTTGATTGTTGATTTTTGAAAAGAAAATGAATTTTTGGCCTAGCCATGAAACTTTCGGATTTTTGGGGAAAAAATGTTTAAATTGCTTATTTGGCCTAATTAGTACTTTGCATGTGTTAATCTAGTGTTTGATTGTTGATTTGTGAAAAGAAAATGAATTTTTGACTTAACCTAGGAACTTTCGAATTTTGAGGTAAAATGCTTAAAATTGCTTATGTGGTTTATTTTGTGTTTTGCATGTGTTGATCTTGTGTTAATTGTTGTTTTAAGGCCTTGCATGTTAAGATTGGTGATTGATTGTTGATCTAAGGTCTTGCATGTTAAGATCTAGTGATTGATGGTTGATCTAAAACCTTGCATGTTAAGATCTAGTGATTTCTATGAAAAATGATGAAAGAACTAAGAATTTGTGCTATTTTGATTTAAAATACTCTTGCATGTGAAGATCTAGTGTATTTGCTTGAATAAGTGTAAAGATGGAAGCCTTGAATTTTTATTCTTGTAAAAATGCTAGATCTAGTGAACTTTTGATGTTAGATCGCCTTTGCATGTTAAGAGTTCGGTTATTTCTATATTTGTATGGCTAAATGATTTTGTGAAGTTTTATGTGTATTTTCTATGTGCTCTTGCTTGCTTATGTGAATCATTGGGTGTGAGGATGAGAGAAGGGTAAGTAGAAGGGTGCATGGGTGGGTGCATTAAGTGTCATGAATTTTTAAAAGATAAAACTATGTTGGAAAGTCTTTCGAGGTTACGGTAAATTTCTTGGGTACGGCGAGTCGATACCGTAGGGCCTAGGGGTGGTTTGATCCCACGTAGATAGACATGATTCGAAATATATGGGGTTATTTACCGGTAACTTAGATTGGCTCTTCCGAGGGATTCCCGACAATTTTTCATGTCATGCATGTTGCATTATGGTGTTGATGATATAGGTGGGAAAATCTCACTCTATGGTCTTGGGATCATAGGGTTATAAAGGTGGGAAATTCCTTCTATAATCTTCAATACGCGTCATGGCATAGGGTTATAAAGGTGGGATATTCTCACTCTATGGTCTTGGGATCATAGGGTTATAAAAGTGGGAATTATCTCACTCTATGCGTGTGGCAATTATGTGAATGAAGAACGCCGACGAAAAAGGGAAGTATTTGATGGTTTTACTTTATGTTGCACGTTTATGTATAAGATATATGTATGTGTATATGTATAGATATATGTATGCTCTATGTGCTATGTGTATTCGATATTACTTCAAGATTCTCATTGAGTCCTCAAAGACTCATATAGGTGTTGTATGTTTGTAGGTATACCCGATTTAGGGCCCGAGGAGTGAAGATGGGAATCGAGCTCGAGAATCGGAAGGGGATCGTATGGAGGGGTTGTGGATAGTGTTGGCTCTCAACTTAGTTATGTGGTTTTATTTGTATAATATGCTTGTAAAAACTTTTTATACGGTTTTAGGTATTTTCTACCGTTCTCTTCCTCCGATCGGTGGGAATTATTAAAAGACGATATGTGTAATAGTAATTAGGATTACCCTATTTTGGATAATTAATCGGTAATCCGTAGCCTTTTTTGTAAACGAAAGCAAATTTTCACTATTTATATGCATGCATGCTTTCGGCTAGTAATTTCCTCGTGTTTTGTCTCCATGTTCTAAAATTATTTTCATATAGGTGCTCTGCTTAGAAAATCATGAAAGTTTAGGAGTCTCTGCATCTCTCTGTTTTCATCATATTTATAGGTCTTTTGCATGATTTGGGTAAGTAATCATTTAGTTATGATTTATTTTTCACTGCTGCATTGAAACAGGGCCATTCGGGTGTTTTCTGGTCTAACTGGATTTTTACTCACCCAAATGCCTTGTTTCCACTTGGAAAATGTTTTAAACTTATTTTTCTGCCTTGGGGTAAAATTTGGTAGTTTTTGGGTCAGTGAGGAATTTATTATGAATTTTCAAAACCCCCTCCCCTGTTCTGGATTTTAAACCGAGTGACTGTGCCATTTTATTTATTTCTCCTAAATGGCCATGCATTTTTCAAAACTGTTTTAACTGACTGATCTAGACCCGTGTTAGATGTTAGGGTCCATTTGGATGGAGGGATTTGGGGAGGGATTTGATTTGGGGAATGGATTTGAAATGACTCCAATTTTGGAGTCATTTGAAATCCATCACTATTGCTCCAAAATCAACTAAAAAGGAGGGGTGGGGATTTGAAATCCATCTCCAAATCCCTTAATCCAAACAAGTCCGAGGGATTTGTTATTATGGATTTGAAATCCCTCCCCCAAATCCCTCCATCCAAATGCACACTTATGGTATTAATTTGGAGTCATTTGCATGAGTAGTTTAAGAGGAATTAATTTTTAAAGCCTCTGCATTGAATCTGTCCGCATTTGCATTAAGTTCATCATGCCTAGATACTTTCTAGTCTTGCATTTAGCATGCATTGGTGTTAATTGATCGATTAGGGTTTAGCAAGCTGTGCCCTCTCTCCCTCTGATTTAAAAAGAAAATTGTTTATGTAAATTTATATCCACAAAGATCACGTTTTTAAAAGTCTTCCGCTGAGATTACATATAATAAGGGTAATCGAGAGAGGGGTGTCACATCCCAGACACCGTTATAGTCCATTGATTTCAACTCTTCATTCATAGCATCAATCCATTTACTAGAATCTTTACTTTTTATGGCTTGTGAATATGAAACTGGATCATTTTGAATACCAATATCAAAATCAGATTCTTGTAGATACACCACATAATCATCGGATATGGAAGATTTTCTTTCCCTTTGAGATTTCCTCAAAGCTACCAGTTGTGGTGATTCTACAATATTGCCAATGATGACATCTTCATGGAGTGGCGAATCAATTGTTTCAACATGCTGTATAGGTTGAAGATTAACTTTATCTTGAGGGAAATAAGATGGTAAAATATCCACCCTAATTTCCTCAAGTTCTACCTTTCTTGATTCAACACTCCCACTAACTTCACCATTCTCTAAGAATTTGGCGTTTCCAGTTTCAACTATCCTCGTAGTATGGTTAGGACAATAAAATCTGTACCCTTTTGACTTTAGTGGATAACCAATAAAATATCCAGAAATTGTTCTAGGGTCCAATTTCTTTTCATTTGGATTGTATATTCTAGCCTCTGCTGGACAACCCCAAACATGTAAATGTCTTAAACTAGGTTTCCTACCAGTCCACAACTCGTAAGGAGTTGTTGGAACTGCCTTACTAGGAACCCGGTTTAAGATATACATAGCGGTTTTCAAGGCTTCATTCCAAAGTGAAATGGGTACAGTTGAATTACTTAACATACTCCTAACCATATCCATAAGAGTACGATTACGACGTTCAGCAACTCCATTCTGCTGTGGTGTTCCAGGCATTGTGCATTGAGCACAAATACAACGCTTTTCTAAGAATTTAGCAAATGGGCCAGGATTTTGTCCCGACTCATCATATCTACCATAGTATTCTCCACCCCGATCTGATCGTATAACTTTAAAAATTCTATCTAATTGTCTTTGGACTTCCGTAACAAACACCTCAAGCATTTCAATAGCTTGAGATTTTTCATGAATTAGATAGAGATAACCATAACGAGATAGATCATCAATGAAGGTGATAAAATACTTTTCTCCACTAAAACATGGGATAGGTAGTGAGCAGATATCTGTATGGATTAACTTAAGAAGCTCTTTACTTCTTGTGGCACCCATTTTATTGTGTTTGGTTTGCTTACCCTTAATGCAATCCACACACATTTGAAAATCAGTAAAGTCTAGATTTTCCAAAATTCCAGTTTTTACCAATCTTTCGATTCTTTCCTTGGAGATATGCCCCAATCGTTTATGCCACAAGATAGAAGACTTTTCGTTATTTAGGCTTCGCTTTACGCCAACTTCCGAATGAGTGGTTAATAATGATTGTCCAAACTCATGATTCAAAGATATTTTATATAAACTATCACATAAAATACCAGAACCAATTATTATTGAATTAAACATAAAACTGAGTTTTCCACAACCAATTAAAGCTGAATAACGACAAACATCCAATTTTGACAAAGAAACCAAATTCCTAGAAAACAAAGGTACATAAAAAGTGTTTTTCAAGATCCATCTTATGACCCGTCTCTAATATGAGGCGATAAGTGCCAACAAACGCCACTTAAGATTTGAGACGGTTCCCCATATAGATTAATTTGTGATATGATTTGTAGCACCAGAATCAAACAACCAAGTGTAAGAAGGAAATTCAATAAGATTTGATTCATAACATACAAAAGAAAGATGAATACCTTTCTTTTCGAACCAAGCCTTACGTTTCTCACAGTCCTTCTTTATGTGTCCCTTTTTGTTACAAAAGTACCAGGTGACAACAAAAGCCTTTCCATGACCCTGACTACTTTCACCAGGTTCATATCTTTTGTTTGGTGCGAATTTCTTTCCAGTCTTCACAAATTTCCCTTTCTTCTTCATACTTCCATGAGTTACAGCCAATGCAAAGTGATTTCCTTCTTGCTTTAATCTCACTTCCTCTTGAATACACATACTAGTCAGCTCATTCAAATTCCACTTATCTTTTTGAGTATTATAGTGGATTTTGAATGGGCCGAACTTTCATGGAAGTGAGTTAAGGATAAATTGCACAAGGAATGACTCTTCCACTTTCATGCCAAGAGCTCCAAGTTTGACAGCCTTATCAGTCATATTCAGGATGTGTTCCTGAATTCCCTTATCACCACCATATTTCATGGTAGTCAATTCAGCCATGAGTGTCCCTGCTAATGACTTGTCCGCTGATTTAAAGCGTTCTTTAATGGCCGTTAACAGTTCCATAGCATTGTCAACCTCGGGAAGGGAAGTCTTAATGTTATTAGCAACGGTCATTCTAATAAGCATAAGACTCAGCCTATTGGACTTGGTCCAGGCTTCAATTAGGCTAACTTCTTCCTCACTGTTAGCATCCGTTATTTCCTCAGGTTTTTCAGTAAGCAATGCTAGGTCCAAGTCCATAATTGAATTTGTTCATACCATTCGGAGAAATTTGACCCACTGACAGTCTTAATACCAGAAGCATGCGAGTACAATGAAGTAGGAATAGCAACTGAAATGAATATAGCAAATATATAAGGCAAAGATAAAAGGATGATCACATAAGACCTTGAGTCAAATAAGATGAACTATCGATATCACTACAAGTTCGCCTTTGGGTGAAATACAGCATACCTATTGTTCACTCTATGTTGGTGTAAATAATCTTTTATAACACCTAAGTAGGGTCTAACATAATTTGTTTCACTCGTCAATTATTCATGTTACCTTTAGGTAAACAATTCTAATTGCTAAGTAATACAAATTATAATACCCTACCCAGTTCATAATTAATTAAAATCGACTATCCTTTGAGCTAGTCTCAATTTCTTAATTATGACTGCAATTTGAGAATATTATAATCTTTAATATCATGTAAATGATTAAACTTTCATATAGTTCTTATATTTATTAGATTTTACTAATCTAGGTCACTTTAGCAACTACAAAATTAGTAAATTTCATAAATATAAAACTAATAATATTCTCGTCATTTTAATTTAAGTGATATCTTTAATTGCAAATTAGTCATGGAATAAATAATCATAACTGTAACAATTATTTTTCAAAAAAAATAATTTACGGCATGTGATACATTAACAGAATGATGTATGTCACAGAATAATTAAAATTCAATACATGCACAATAAACTTTATCATATCGCACATAAATCAGCTTACAAAAGTATAAATTCTGTTATGCAGTTATAATAACATACAAATACACCAATTGTTAAATATAATATATTTCTTTAATTAAATATATTTAAACCACTGTTGGGTTTTTCAATCAACAACTTTGATCAGGACATTGTTTATTTATTTATTAAATATGACGTGTGTGTACAGTTTAATGTCCACGTACAATTCAAACAATATGCATATACAAACCAAATGCATTGATATAATAATAAAACAAATGAAAAATGTACATTAGTCAAGTAATTCAGAAAGAAGTCTCTTGACACATTTATCAAAACATTAATTCGAGGGAAATTTATGTTCGGCAGAAGAGTATCAAAAATAATAATCAATTTCGTCAAAACAGATTATAAAATATCAAAACACAAATACCAATCACAATCGTTCTTCACCAAAATACGGAACAAGATAAATTGACAATAATCAGTCTCAATTTATTATGCATAAAACTACCGTAGCAAAATAATAATTTCGACTCAAAATTCAGTTTCACACAATCATAAAGCCATATAACAAATTATAAGTTCTAAGACGAATCGATTTCAAAACCCTGCTCTGATACCAATTGAAAGAATTTTATTTAATTTTACGGGGAAAACTCTAATCACAGAATCTTGAAATCAAATTCATCTTAAGAATATAATCACGTAATAGAGATTATCGACATACCGTTCGCCATGGATTTCGATAGAGACGATGAACAATAGTTATCTACAAGCCGAGCCTAGGCAGGCCTCCTTCGAATCTCCTTGTGAGAACTTTATTCGTAGGCACACCTTCTTCTCTCTATCTCTCTCAAATCACAACTCACAAAGTATTTCTGTAAGTGATGGAATTCTCAATTGCGTCTGATGGTTGAGGAGAAGAGCTGTGGATTTCTTTTATAGGCGAGAGAAGAGGGCCACGATTGATTTGTAACGGCAGAAGACAAATCCCATCCATCATGGTCTTTTATTGCCTTCAACGTTACAAATCAATTACCATAAAATCCCCTTAATACCATAATTTGAATTACCCACAATTTAATTAATTAAAATAAAGATTATTGGACCAAAAAATAAAACGTTAAAAACGTAAAACTAACAATCTGTTCCCTTTATGTTTTGATATTGAATCCGGTTTAAGCCGGTTTTCAACTTGTTCAACCGACGGTTTTCGCGGTTCAATCGGTGGTTTTTTGCGGTTCAACCGGCTCCTTTCTGGGTCCAAATTAACTGACCCCGGTTTTTGACTTTTCCGGGTCTTAGTGTTGAACCGGACCGCACCATCACCGGGTCCTGGTTGAACCGGTCGGACCGGCCGGTCCGGTCCCGACAATATTGAGTAATATTATTGTGTTTACAGTTATTTTACTGTCAACGACAGTTATATAATTACGTTGACCTGTCAATAAATCAAACAAAATGAAAAAAAAAACAAAAAAATAATAATATAGTCGTTGACTCTAATTGTACTTTCCATGACAGTACAATTACATAAATGTACTATCAATGACAGTACAATTACATAAATGTACTGTCAACGGCAGTACAATTACGTTAATATAATGTCATTGACAATATAATTACGTTAATGTGCTGTCAGTGACAGTATAATTACTGTTAATGACAGTATAATTACGGTAAACGTTTAGCGGCGAGCGTTAAAAAAACGGATACAAATTTATGAGATAAAAAAATCACTAAAAAAAACCGAAAACCCGAAGGAAAAAAAAAAGTCAACGCCGGGAAAGAAAATCGAAAAGTCAACGCCGGTGACTTGCGATAAAAAAATATTTTTTGGAAAAAAAAAGTCAAAATTGAAGTTTTGTGGTCAACTTTGATTAAATTGGGATTACAATTAAGAATTGAGTGTAAATGGTTGAGGGTAATTTTGTTATATAGATTAATTTTTCCTTTACTTTATTTATATTAAATATTAAATGGATGGGCTTATTGGCGAAAGAGATATAGCCCCTAAACCTATAATAATAAAGATGGTTGGTCAGGTACTTATTAGGTACTTATGCACAAAAATGCCATATAATTGTATTCTTTTTTTTTTTCCAATACTTTGTTGTAACATATGTAAAGTTTCTTGGGATTGTCTAGGTTCAGAGAGGCATTGAACTTCTTGGACTTAAATGACTGAATCTGGTGCCTTAAAATTATTGAGTAAATAATGATGATCGTTGATTTTAAGTACGATCTAGTACGACCCTAGGAATCTCTAAATTAAAGTACAAACCTAGTAAAAATAAGTCGTACACATATCGTGCACACTTTGTATTTTATGTAAATTACTTTAGTACCCTTAAATCATTAAATAAATATTGACGTTAATGAGAAATAAACTTTTCCAAAAAAATATAAAATCATAATCCTCATCTTTATTCCCAAAACACGCACTTTTCTAGTTTCCTTCCCCATTACCACAGTTCTTCTTTCAATCACTAGCGGCGGAGAAGCAGCCATCCTCACCATCACCCTTGTTGGCGCCAGATTCCCGACTACTGAAGATCGAGGAAATCCGTCGAGTTTTGGGATTCAAAGACTGGCAAAGATTTTTTTTCATGTTTATTTTGGAATTTATTAGGATCCTATTGTATTATACTTCTATTAGGACTTATATTTATTTTTCATGTATTTTATTCTAGTTAGGTATCTTTTGTATTTATCTAGAATAGAAGTAGAAATCAACTAGGATTCTATTACCTAGTTAAATAGTTTTCTTTGGATTCAAGTTAGGTCTTAGAGGTTATTTTCGTGGCTATATAAGCCTCCAAGACAAACAAGAACCGTGTGCATTTATTGGAAGAAAAACCACTTCATAGCATCGAAGGTTTGCGAAGGCGTTCTATGGAGCAGGACTGTGCCATCACTGGTTGTGCCAACATATACAGATCTGGTGTATAGATCTCAAGGGAGATCAGCCGCGTTTCTGAAGGGAGTACAGGCTTGAAGAAAATTCAAGGCACGCGGAGTGGAGCTGCTGTAGAGAAACATGGAGTTCGTGTTGTGTACAAGAACGGCGTAAAAATTAAAGAGGGAGTCTTTGTTATTTTTAATAAGTCCTATAAATGCACACTGTAAATCTGAACTAGTGAAATCGTGTTTGCAGGTCCACGTGGATGTAGGGCACATTTGTGTCTGAACCACATCAAATTCTTGTGTTCATTTACTTACTTTCAATAGTTTATAACAGTGTGATCACAAGAATTGTAGTTGTAACTGAATACTATTTCCACAACGTAACTATTACAACTTAGGTTTATAGATTTCTATAGGCATATAAATCTACAATTGGCATCAAGAGCCTCTCACTAGATATACATAGTGTGTGATTTTGGGAATTTGATTTATTTCACTTTTACTCTACAGACGCGATGAGTGCTCATATGGAAGGAGGTTCCACTACTCGCCCACCACTACTTACGGGAACAAATTACTCCTATTGGAAGACCAAGATGAAGATGTTCATCAAGTCAATGGATGAAGACGCCTGGCGTACAGTTCTGACTGGCTGGAAACGACCTGTTGCCACATATGAAAAAGGAATTCAAACTAAGAAACATGAAAAAGACTGGAGCAAAACTGAGCAGATTGCCGCAAATATGGATTCCAAAGCATTGAATGTCATATTCAATGGAATTGATATCAATCAATTCAAAATCATCTCAGCATGTGAGTGTGCCAAAGAAGCATTGGAAAAATTACAAACAACTTATGAGGGAACAACCTCTGTTCGATTATCAAAACTTCAGATGCTCGCTACTCGCTTTGAGGATCTTCGAATGGAGGAGAGTGAAACCGTAAGCGACTTTAATTCGAAACTATGCGATATCTCGAATGAAGCTCATGGTCTTGGTGAAACTTATCCTAAAGTCAAGCATGTCCGTAAAGTGTTGAGATCAATGCCAGACCGATTCGCATACAAGGTCACAACTATTGAGGAAGGAAGTGAAGTGGACTCATTGCGACTTGAAGATCTGATCGGAAATATGCAGACATTTGAGAACAAGCTCAACATCATTAAAATGGATAAAGAAAGAAAGATTGCTTTACAAACAGTTGTTGTGACCACTCCATCTGTGCCCTATGTTCCCATGACAGCACTTGAAGTCAAGCTAACGAAATCCATGTCTCTAATAACTAAAAACTTCGGAAAACATGTGAAAACGAATGGACATCCTACAAGTTTTGAAAGAAAACCCAGAAGTACTGCAAACAAGCAAGAAGTCA